TCTATTTTGGGTCGAATATCTCGAAAACTGTTTATTTCAGCTCAGTTGAAGGTGATGCATTTTCTGAACAAAATTGAACAATGAATTCGAGGAATTGGAAATAATCGAAATTCAATCAGTGGCGTAGAAAATATGGAAGGAAAAAATGCCACAACCCCCTGTAGGGCACCACTGGACAAAATGTCCGGAATGGCTTCCAGGTCAAAAAATGGCCCATTCAAAGATGAAACCATATACCGAAGTTGAATGCATTATATTCAATTATTCTTGAGATATTGCGAAACAACTATTTTCATTTCTCAACTTCAACGCCCTGTATCTCGAGAACTGAACACTTGAAGACCGAATGTTCCTATCTCAATGATTATGAAATCACGAGGGCTATCACCTGTCAAACGTTGTCGGTCGAATTTCGAAACACCCTGTATATCCATTTTTATATGTTCATAATTATATCTGAAAATATTCCTTTTCAATATTCGTTATATTTTGATATGATAAAGATATACACTATTACTATAGTGTATCGCTTTACACCATACAATAACTGCAATAATTGCAGATTTATAGCATAGGTCATACGTCTGTGAGTTGGACGTTTTTATAGGTATTTATAACTCTCTTTGACATCAGATAATAAACATATTGAGAAATAGCAAGGTTGACGAAACTTTCATTGCAGAAAACTAAATTTAATCTCCTCAAAACACTTATTACACATATGTAGGTGGATCGATTTGGATTGCTTCCGATTGAAAAATAAATATTTTTAATTTTTTTACAATGAAATTACATGTGCATAGGGTAGCATATGAACACCAAATTCAAATTGATACTACTGTCAATATGAGATGTCATATGACATTAGTGTCAATAGAAGAGAAAATACAATTTTCTTGCGGTTATCACACAAAACTGCTCTTTCTTAACTGTTTCCGATAAAACAATGACTTCATTATGTAACAGTTGTAGTTATTATTAAACAATAAATCACGCCTCTCACGGAATGACAATGAATATTCTTGTGATGACAGCTTTGTTTTCGAATGACAATACGCATTTCTGTCATTGAATCATTTCACTCTATTGAATTCATAGAAAAAGTATAGTGCATGACTCGCATGGAAAGCTTATACAGGGTTGTCAACGGCACTATTGCTAACTTGGTTATTATCCCCGTAAACACACTTACGTTGAAATAACGTTGTAGAATTGCCACAACGTTTGATTGAAATGACGCAAAAATGTTGCTGACGTACACGTTATTTCTAACCAGTACAAAAACATGATTTCAACTTCTTATTTGATATCAATTGATTATTTATCACTTAATAATGAACGTTTTCAAATGAGTAATTTTTTACGTATTTTCAACATTATCAGATCACCAAAAATTACAAATATGTGAATTTCAAACGTTGAAATAAACAATTATTATTGCTTGAAACTATCAACGATTTTCTCCAACGTTCAGTAGTGGTTATATATCACCATAATGTAAAGAACTGTTGGAAATGAACCGTCTAAATAACGTGTTAATTTCCGCTCATTAGAACACCGTTAATTTTACACATTATATAGAAACATGTACGTCTTGGTAATTTTATATACCGGGTGTCAATGAATCTATTAGACAAGTCATAACTTCTAGACCATTAGGTCTATCAAAATGATATTTGGTATAGGTAAATGGTATGTGAAGAGGAGAGTGTTTTCACATATTTTTCACTTTCCGGTCACTTCTGGTTTCACCGGAAATGGCTCCGGTTCTAAATTTTTAAATGGAACACCCTGAAAATTGTAACATATTTGGATTTCTGAGACAATTCTAGATCAGAATGTGACATTTTCGAAAGTTTTTATGCCTACTTTTGAAATTACATCTAGGTGGCCATGATCGGAAGTAAACTTATCTAAGGACCTCAGGTGATATCAGAAAATTACAATCGCGAAGTTTTAGTGACATGATATGAATAAGACAAGTTGGCAAAGTTACATTTGCGTGTCTAACTATTATTTTTCAAATATCGACCATTTTTTGACAAAATTTTACCTTCTGCTCTTTAAGCTTATATGTCACTGTCATAAACTAAGTGGGTGTTTTGTTTTCCCAAGAAGACTTGATCGAAATAACTGCAAAATATCATGCATCATGCCTATCCTCGGCACACTTGACAAAAGTAAATAAATTATTATGAAGTATTTTCGTCAGTAATATCCAATTTATGTTCTTATTCGTAATCCAATCGCAAATAAATAATTAGTATCGTTAGATTCGTCAAAATATCCTTTTTTCGGAAAGTGCTTGTCAAAAAATGGTCGCAATTTGAAAAATAATAGTTAGACACGAAAATGTAATTTTGCCAACTTGTCTTATTGATATCTATCATACTTATCGCTAAAACTTTGTAATTGTAATTTTCTGATATCACCTGAGAGATTAGTTTACTTCCGATCATGGCCACCTAGATGTAATTTCAAAAATGACTCCGAAAAAATTAAGTAGGCATACAAACTTTCGACAATGTCACATTCTGATCTAGAATTGTCTCAGAAATCCAAAAATGTTACAATATACAGGGTGTTCCATTTGAAAATTTAGAACCGGTGCCATTTCCGGTGAAACCAGAAGTGACCGGAAAGTGAAAAATATGTGAAAACTCTCCTCTTCACATGCCATTTACCCATACCAAATCTCATTTAGATAGACCTAATGGTCAAGAACTTATGACTTGTCTAATAGATTAGTTGACACTAGGGCTGCGCAAAAATATCGATATATCGATATATATCGATATATATCGATATATCGAATAACGATACTATAGAAAAAAAATATCGATATATCGATATATCGATATATATCGATATGTATCGATATATATCGATATTTATCGATATGTATCGATATGTATCGATATGTATCGATATGTATCGATACGTATCGATATGTATCGATTTATATCGATATATATCGATACATATCGATACATAACAATATACAACAAACAAACCATTGGTATTATTATTGTGTAAATTTGTACAATCTCAGAATATCAAATATCTGCTGAGAATTTAGGATGTATTGCATTATGAAAATTTCAATACAGTTCAACAGCAGGATATGTCGATACATATCGATATGTATCGATATACAGTATGTCCAAAATTGTTGAGGAGTGTATTGGGATATCGGAAACTAAAGGAGATGGAAAGTCGGTTGAATGGGGAAAGTTTCAGACAATTTCATAGATCCAGACAAAGTATTCAACACAATATCAGCCATTCTAAACAAATATTGTATTTTCAATCTTCCAATGAATGTATTTGCTCGGTTTTTTCCATTATCTCATGATTGTGTGTGACTGTGTATTATGTGTGTACTTGTGTAGTGTACTGTGTACACTCTGTTTGTACACCTGAGGTGTACGGTGTACACTGTGTATTGTGTATATCGATAAATAGGTACATATTGTTATATCGATATATATCGACCTGCATATCGATATATCGATATATATCGATACATATCGATATATATCGATACATATCGATATATAGATACATATAGATATATCGATATATATCGATACATATCGATATATCGATACATATCGATGTATCGATACATATCGATATATCGATACATATCGATATATCGATAGATATCGATACCAAAGCGTGCATCGATATCGATATCCAGTTTTCAATATCGCACAGCCCTAGTTGACACCCTATGGTTCTTAAGTCGATAGATGTATAACTCATTAAAACAAATCAACATGCAAGTTTTATCAGAATTATATATAACCAAAAAGTGAGAGAAAACTTCTTTTAAACTTTGCCACCCTGTGAATCTCGGAAACCAATCAAGCTTTATATGTATATATATAAATGATAATATAGATGTACCTATATTGCAACCGTCACTTTTATGACGTTGCAGTGACGTATCTATGACGTCTAAAAATCACGTCGGTGTGACGTACCGATTTGGTTAGTTTCGTCATTCAGAAAATGTTTCAATAATCAATTTGCTATTTAGATTTTTTCCTCCAAATGACATTAAAAGTGGATTCCTAATGACACTTAACAGGCAGAAAAAGTTTGTTGCTATGCAACGTTCCAAGTGATTTGAATCAAATTGGTAATCAAAATTGACAATGAATTTGAGTGAACAAAAAATTATGGACTATTTGGACTTAGCATGAAATTGAAAAGAATTTGTAGTGAAAATAATATGTTTCACATGGCAGAAAAGAAGATATAATGCCTTGGCTGGTTTCCTAGCCTCGGCTACGCCTAGGCTATGAAACGCCAGCCGCGGCATCAAAGCTTGTACTTATCTGCCCAGTAAAACAAATAACTATTGTTGGGTGACAAATAATGCATGAATATACGTTACTGAATGAACTCGACAACATCCTTTTCATTGCTTTCAAAACTATTCTTGGTTTGCTTACATCTCGCCGACATAAACTACATAATTTTTGATACGAATGCGAGTTACTGATTTCATTCTAATGGAGATGCGTACTGAGGGATAGCGCTGCTGGATAGACGATTGAATGGACATGACACCGGAGGGACCACCAAGCAGACTTAACAATTCATAATCAATATTATATGTCACCAGAGGGCAGTGGTGATTATCACACCATGTTTGAGGAAACTTTTTTACGTGTCATCACCAAATTTGAACGGCACAGTTTGGTGAGTGAATGACGTCCATAAACGTGTGACTAATATGATGTCATTGGGCTATGACTCATGTACGTCATTTATATCGTCATACGACGTCAACTACTGACGTCACCTTGGTCATTCAACTGACGTAAAAAGACGTCACTGAAACGTAATCTGGTTGCCTGGGAGTGTAGTCCGAAAACGAACTTCAAAAATAAATTATCTTTGGATGGAAGGTTTATTAATTCTTTTAACTGTGGTGGAAGAAACATGCTAATGGATGACTATGGCAGTGTAATTTTTTTCAATTTCAGATAACGGACCGTGCCTGGGCTGGCGCGACTCCTACTCCAAGCCCTACCAGTGGCTCAGCTACAACGAGGCCCTCCTCAGGGCCAAGAACCTCGGCTCGGGCTTGGTGGCAACCGGATTGCCCCCTGGCCCCACCACCATTCTCGGCGTCTATGCGCAGAACTGTCCCGAGTGGATCCTCACCGAGCAGGCTGCCTACTGCTACAGCATGGTGCTGGTGCCTCTCTACGACACGTTGGGGCCTGACGCATGCGCCTTCATCATAAAACAGGGTATGACCATTCTCCTTATCGTTTCTACTTCTACAAAAAGTTACAAGGTTGAACCATTGACAAAACTACTATCTACAGCGCTATAAGTCATATCTCAGCAACCCGAAAATCTCACCATGCTGTAGTAGTACGCTGCCACAATCACGCATTACTTCTTCTAGTGGATCCTCAGCGAGCAAGCGATCTACTGCTACAGCATGGGGCCTGACGCATGCGCCTTCATCATAAAACAAGTTATGGATATTCTCCATACCGTTCCTTCAACGCTGCAAGACTGACCCACTGGCATAACTACTACCTAGAGCTCTATATGTCATATCTCTATCTCAGCAACCCAAGAATCACCATGTAGTATAGCCGGAAACGGGGAGGCAGACAGACTGGGCAAAATCGGTTCAGGACGATCCCTGGTCGGACCGGAACAAATCTTGGGAATACTAAACAGTCTGATGGCAATGTCCTCCATAGAGGGACAGCTGCAAAAACAATTCCTCAAAATATGGCAGAACACACCAGGAATGAGACAATCGAAACTCCACATAAAGGAACCTTTGAAGAGGCTCACAGGCTTATCCCTCAACAGGCGAGACATTAAAATAGTAGTGGGGCTCCTAACGGCCGGGGCACAAGCACCTCAATAGGCACCTAGAGCTTATTAGGATCAAAGATGATCCCCTTTGCATTTGCATTGTGTCTGAAAGATGACGAAACGTCATCGCATGTCCTCACTGAGTGCCCAGCACTGATACATCAGAGGAGGGCTATTCTTGGCAACATAATTTTGAGGCCAGAAGTCATGAAAGAGATTCAGCTGAGGAAGCTGCTGAACTTCTCCAAGGAAGTCAGCATACTCAGATGGGCCCGAATAAGGAGGCCTAAGTGCAGGGGTGGTCACCCTCCCACCATTGCTTCGAAGAAGTTGTATAACAGTAACGCCGCCACCATCCTCGGCGGCTACGCTCATCATTGAAATAGCGAATCACGCCCAGTAAACACAAACCTCCCTGGGATGTAACAACATAGGTAACAATAATGCGAATCACAAGAAAACATCATTGATATTGCCAGGGGACTCCCTATTTTACAAAAAATTCACAATATTCTTCACATTTCATTGGATTTGAGGCTTAAAATGTAAGTGAATTTGTGAGGCTCCCTAAAAACCAAGAGACTCACTGGAACCTCACACTCTTGTCTATTTATGTAACAAACGTAATCAATAAATTTTGATGTTGAGAGAGAAGTTGCTTTAATACGTATACTATGAGTATATGAGGGTCCGGAATAGCAGTCATTGTGATTCAGTGCGACTCTCAATTCGAGTAACAGATGTGATGTGTGGCATGGATGTGATGCCCTTTTATATTTCTGAGATCAATCTGTGTTAACTGGGATCTCACCAGTAAATGCCTCCACAGTATTTCAAATCACAAACTACAAAACAATGTCTCTTCACTATAGCCGCCGTGGCAATATATTTCCCGTATAGTGGAGCTATAGCTAGGCTCTAATGTGCTGGTGCCGCTATGATACCAAAGAATACCCAGCCCTGACGCATGCCCCTTCATAATAAAACGAGGTATGGATAATCTCCTTATCGTTTCTTCAACGTCGGCGTCTTTCTGCTACAAGGCTGAACACAATGTCAACACCGCATTGCCCGTGATCCGAAAGTCCTACTCTTGACTGGCGATATCACTGCTTTATGGCATATCTCAGCTACCCGAAAATCACTTCCGAACGTCTCCCAAAGTATTCAAGTTCTGTACCTCTTGTAATCCGCTCCCAAGAATATCGTAGGGATACTAAATAAGATCAGAATCCGGTCTCCGAGCTGGCCATTCCATGGTAGCGATACCGACATTCTCTAGATAATTTTTCACACCACGAGCGACGTGCGGCCTGATATTATCTTGCATCAACAAGAATCCTTACATTATATATGTGATTCTAAAATCTCTAATATGTACCTTTTAGCTGTAAGGCTTTCATTTATGATCACAATGCCGTAAGTGCCGTAAGTAAGTCCAGAGAAGGGATGAAGTGTAATTTCAATTCTAACTTGATAATGAAACTGTTACAATCTACATCAGGGCATTTAAAATTTCATAAAAAAAGCTGCAAATGCTACACCTCGTACTCATAAAAAAGATGTTTTATGCGAATATTATGTTCACGCCAACATTAAGAAGGAGATAACCTCTGTCATTCAAAACAGAAAACGTCCGTCGGATGAGCAGTTTTGACGAAAATGTATCTCAAACTTTTGGATATTTTTTGCTGGTGCGTTATAATTTCTTGGGTAAGTGTATTTTTGCGAAGGGTAATTTGACTAACACTCTATCACACAACAATGATTGAGTATCTTCATATAAGGAATGCTGAAATTACCTACTCTAATTCAAAAAATAAAAAACATATCCTCAATTAAAAAACCATTTTTGGTGAACTTCGCACACACTTTGACATATATAACTCGATCACTAGATTATTCCTTCTATGGTTCAATGGCTTCACACAATATTTCTCATCAATAACAAATCAATTCACATTTGAAAATTGTATGAATTTAGTCCGTTCCATTCACAGGCTGTGTGCATTATGGCCGGCGAGATATTTTCAGGCAGTGTTGTCAATTCTGTTCACCATGGCTTCCCCATTAGAGAAGACTGTGATAAAACGCGACCGAACATGCACGTCTCAATGTTATTTCAAATTCTCTTTTTCATCTACTTTTTTATGTTTTTCAGCCGAAATCAATACGGTAGTGTGTGAAGACGATGCCAAATGTAACTTGATGTTGGAAAAATCTCCAAGGTGTCTGAAAAAGCTCATCGCCATCAAAGATATCCGGCCAGCGACGAAGCAACGAGCGAAAAATAGAGGAGTTGAGATAGTCAAGTTCACGGACGTAGAAGAAATTGGGGCTAAAAAGAATCATCCAGATGTTGTAAGTGGAACGAAATATTCTAGAACACTACTTATTCAATATACCTATTTCACTCATTACATAATCTGAACAATTACAAGCCAGAGACCACGTGTGCTCATCGCGAAAACATGAGAGCTATCTTTCAATTCTGATTGGTCTGACAGCGTTCATGTTTTCAACGATGTAACCATGAATAGCGAATCAAAGTCTGAATGAAACCATGGCTAGCGAAGCAAAGTCTATCAGTTTGGCATAAAATAATTATGGCTGGTACTTGTCAAAATGAATTACTCGCATTTGTAATGAATGCTTTTTATGCTTCGTGAACGTGAGATAGTCTAGCAGAATATCACCCTGTTCTGAATATATTCTCATAATTCTGTATTTCATTTTTAACTCAATTGTGTTGCCGTACACAGTTCTGACGGACTCGTGGTGTTGCTCGGCAACACGATTTCTTGAACAATGAAGCAACAGAAATATCTCGAATATTCAGAACATCGTGATATTACTTATGAAAACTATGTTTGAAAAATTATGAATTGTTTCTCACAAAGTACACGTATATTTTGAACTCTCCCTTAACTTTCCCATTCATTGCTAACTTCTCTTTCCGAGGAACAGTTTAATTTAATTTCTCCTGAAGATTTAATATGTGTTGAAAAACAATCGGATGAACATGGACAGCTAATAACAATATGAATTTTTAGATGGAACCCCTATACCGTGGGTGTAACAAGATCATGGTAATTAGTTTCAAACAGGATGAATCCACCTTTATTTCAAAGATAAGCAATTTAAATTTGGAATGTCACATCAACTTGACGTCAACGTCAGGTTTTGACATAATGTTTAAATAATAATTGATAACGTCTGATTTTCAAATGAAACTCCTTGTACATCATTGCATTTTCGAGTTCCGCATAATTTTCTGAATCCTATCATACCATACAAGCGACATTTCAACTTCAATATTTTGTTTTTGATTTTCCATCAGAGTGTGCGGTAACTTCTGATTTATTACTCCTATTGACAAGTGTAATGCAGGGCAGAATTGAATCCTGTCAAAATGGTTTCTAGGACGAAACACATAAGGCTTCCCAATACTTTTTAAATTAACAATAACAATAGCCATCAAACTACAAACTCAGGTTTCAAACCCACCCCTACGTAGCTGGTTCCTCTTTCCATGTATTTATAACTGCATTATTGTATCCTTTTCAGGAGTGATTTCGACTAAAATCATAGCAAATTGCAACATGGCTATATTATGAATAAACTACGTGTATTACGAATACCGGCGAATGGTACAACCATAGATCTAATGGTACAACTGTACCGATATGGTTCCATAAGAAAAAGTTGTGTATGGTCATAAATCTTGAAATGATGCATGATCAACATATTCATTGAAACAGGGTAGTCCTCAAAAATGAATTATGTCACTAAATGAAAAAAATACGTATTAAAACTCATGTAGTGACGAGCAAGAAAAGTTCAAAGTATTCTCATTTAACGATATCGATTGAGATGTTTTCTGGTGATAAGAGGTGAAGATGTCCTCACTATGTAAAGTTGCTATATCAAATCAACGTCATACGCTTTGATTATTGCAATCTGTTTTATGATTGAGCATCTCGGCTATATTCTGAATTCAACTGTCGATCGAGAATCTGCTGATGTTCCATCACGAAATCAACAAAATTCACTGAAAGTGACAAATTACTGACCACCAAAGGGGAAAAGTGTTGAAGTCAGCAACCTGTCAATAATGAAGTGAACATATTATTTCTAGGGCATAGTAATGATGGTATAGTCGGCTACATTATCATGATTCATGATTATCAAAGAACATTATTCGAATCAAGATATTTATACATTCTGCTCATTGAATCTCGAAACTATGGTTTACTAGATTTGTCATCGATTCGTCATCATGGAAACCCTTCTAAAAGAATGAATTGCTGGTCCACGTACCAATTTTTAATTTGTTTTATTCTAAACGTAATTATGAAAGAAATGAATTATGAATAACTGAAAACTGACAGCACCCAGCTGAAGAATTGGTTGAGCATTTCTGCACAAGTAATCTCAATCCCTAAGTGCTGTGAATACAGAACTATTTCAGAATAGCAGAATTTCAGCAATGTCAGTGGCACTATATACTGACACTGGAGACAGTTAAATGCGGAACATATCATATAGCCTTATTGAAATTTTCTTCCGAGAGAAAGACATTTATACTATCCTGCGTATCATACTCAATATTATATTTTGCCATTTTATGTTGATAAGAATGGGTTGACTTATTATCAGTGTGAGAAGGTTCATGAATGTTTTGCTCAGTCAAATCTAAGGATTTGACGGAATTCCCTATTCCTATTCACATGGTCACTGTTTGCTATGTGATTCTTCCAGCCGCCGAAGCCGTCCGACCTCGCGACCATCTGCTACACCAGCGGCACGACGGGCAACCCCAAGGGAGTGATGCTCACCCACGAGAACATCGTCGCCTCCATGAGCTCAGTCATGCTCCAATTTGGTGACCACACGCTGCGGAGCACCGACACACTCATCTCCTTCCTGCCGCTCGCTCACATGCTGGAGAGGTGCTGCGAGGTGAGAAAACTCGGGATAATATATTATGACCTATACCGTACTTCTATAGTGTATATATCAGACCTCAGACTGAATAAGAATGGATAGACACCGCGATTCATCCATAAATCCTTGAAGAGTATACGCCAACAATCCTAAACGCCAAACACGGATAAATGAATGAGATCGCTAATGGTGGGGATAATAAAAGACACTTGTACATTTGCAGGTGATTGCTTGGACTACATAATAATAGATAGAGACCGCAATTCATTCATAAACCCTTGAAAAGTAAACGCCAACAATCCTAAACACCAAACCCGGAAGCGATTTTACTAACTATACTGTACGCTAGCACATACCACGCCCACCGTTATATCTCATCTTCAAAGTACTTTACTTAGGCAAAACTCAGAGACTATTTATCCTCAACGAACTAACCTATCCCTGATTGCAATATTTTTGAGGAAGGAAAACCGAATGGAGTGTAGAAACACATTGATTAATAATATATTTCGAAAGTTGAGTTCTTCAACAAAATTGAATAAAATGAGACTGTTTATCCTAGACGCACTAACCTATTTGACTTCAAATATTTTATGAAAAAGGAAAACCAGAATGAAGTAAAAAAACATTGGTGAAAAAAAAAGTTGCAAAAAAAAGTTCAAGTTCACAGCGATTCGAACCATATGGACCTTCAGACTGAAAGTCGACAGCGCTAACCAGTAGACCATTTGGGTGTATGAATTTACTGCGTACAAGAGATTGACAACGAGAGAGCTTCAGTCGAATTCGTGTCAAAATCATAAAAAGTGTACTCTTGCGTTGGAGCACAGTATATTTAGTGCAATGTGCTGACTCCGAGTATATCGGTAATGTTTGGAGATATGACGTATTATGGTGGGCGTGGTTTGTGCTAGCGTGCAGTATATTTAGTAAAATCGCAACCCGGAATTATGTCAGGAATCTTGAACCCAATCAAAATAGGTACCTCTAGGTAGCACCACTCGCTCTTCGGGTTCGTGGTGTTACCAAACTCCTGACAAGACTATCCGTGCACTAGTACGGCAAACAAACACTTTACACATGACAAACAGTGCGTTAAAGTGGAAATTGACTATACCGTACGGAAGTACGTAAAATAAATATTCTTCAGAGATACGGCTAAAAATATCGAATCTTCCATGCAGAATGCAATGTACAGTGTTGGAGGAGCTGTTGGCTTCTTCCTGGGGGACATCCGCAGACTTTCGGACGACATGAAAGCCTTGAAACCGACGGTCACTCCTGCCGTGCCGAGACTTCTCAACAGGATCTACGACAAAGTGCAGTCGGACATTAACGGCAGCTGCGTCAAGAAGATGATATTCAATATGGCGTATAGCGCAAAGGAAAAGGAAGTTAAGAGGTAACAACCACGATAATATAGGTATCTTCTGGTTTAGAAAATTTCCGAAGACGCAGGAGCTTGTTTTTAGAACCACTTTCTGATAGGTATTATGTCATTTATTTTGGAATGATGTCAATTATCAATCGCTGAGGGGTGTCATACATGAACTCGTTATTGAAAACCTCAAATGTGTTTCATGGAAATATATCAAGTCTCCAAATGAAAGACTACCAGTAGTTTTGATATCATTATCTCTGAGAGAAAAATGTTGGTTCATTTCATTTCCATGCCTTCACTAAATTTCTTGCGAGAATTATAGTCTGATAATGCTTGTTGTGTGTCCATCTCAAGGACTCATCACCTTCTATATCTTCTTAGAGGTATTCGAAATGCACAAGCAACAAGGGTGTGAATTCATTTTCGGGATCGAATTTCGAAAAATAGTATCACGGATTTTTTCATAAAACTAACGATGGTTTCTCGGTTAGAATCACTCAAAATACCTGTACAGAATCGTCATTCTAAAATACAGGGTCAAATGAAATACCTATATGAATTTTTGAACATCTATTGATTTGGAATGACGTATAAGTGTATTTTAAGTAATTTTGAATGAGAATCCGGCCCATCGTTATAGTCACTTTGTGAAATGTTGATTTCAAATATTACATAGAGAACAGATCGATCAAAAAATGAAGATTTTAAAGTGGTGGTAAGTTCTTGAGGTAGACCATGGATTATTATTTCTTGTTTCGTTACACCTTCGTTAATTAGAAACTTCTAATTGATTTTCAGGGGTATTTTCCGGAAAAACAGTTTCTGGGACATGCTCGTGTTTAGAAAAGTACAAGAAGGAATGGGAGGCAAGCTCAGGTTGATGTTGGTAGGTTCAGCACCCTTAGCGGAAAACGTTCTTACTTTCGTCCGATGTGCCTTAGGATGCTTGGTAAGTTATCGTTAATACTGGAAAACTTTTTTGCTGTGATCTCTTGGTTATATTAGGAAAAGTTCATATTCCTGAAGTTGAAGATTAATCAGTGGAACTGGCAATGACTTTTGGAGAGATACCATCAACAAGGGATATATCACCCTTTTGGTTCTCTATAACACCATCGTCTCCCTTATTTCGAATGGGATATTAAAAGTGATTTGAGAAACATAGCATCTTGGGCACAAAATTCATAAATTGACTCTGAATTATATATATAACAAATCTTCATATATTATCTCCAAGGGATTAGCTAATATTTCCAATGATGCTATAACTTTCAACAATTGATTCATTAAATATACAAACGAATCAAAAATTTTTGGATCTCTTAATTCATTGATGAAAAATTATTATGGACTAAAAGACCATAAATATGAGAAATATAAAAAAAATCGACCATTGGCATTTTATTCAAAATCTGAAATATCATTCCCATTAAATACTTGAAATTGGAATGTATTCACTTTTGCCACATTTATTCAATTTTTGTATGTTCTGGTTACGACGAATAGGGACTGTTATGTTCAGAGAACATCTCAAGAACCAAGGGAAATGAGATAGGAAGATTTGATTCCTATTTGAGGGAGTACAAATATTTCACGCCTAAAACCACTAATGAAATTAGAAAACAAATCAATTAAGTACATTTTTCATTAAAATTTTCATCAACGAGTTGAAAAATATACATGATACAAGAAGGTTTAAAATCAATCTTGAAAAATACTTGCTCAGGACAATTTGAATGACAAATACGTCACATGATATGATTACTCAGAAATGAAATGTTATAACTTTCATCTTAAGAAACAATATTGATTCGTTTCCACTGAGTGGAATTCATTGATCAACCCTTTATTATATATTTTTTATGTATTCATGCATCCCTATTAGAACAAGAAATGTTTCTTGGGGTACGGCCAAACCGAATACGCCACCCCCATCACCCTTTTGCTTCTTCATATCACCATCGTCTCTCTCGATTTCAGATAGTGGAGGGCTATGATGGCCAGACTGAGTGCACGGCCGCCATCACCTTTTTGCTTTCCTATATCGCCATCGTCTCCCTCGTTTCCAGATAGTAGGAGGGGTACGGCCAAACCGAATCCAACGCCCCCATCACCCTTTTGCTTCTTTATATCATCATAGATTTCCCTTGTTTCCAGATAGTGGACGGCAACGGCCAAACCGAGTGCACCGCCCCTATCACCCTTTTGCTCCTTTATATCATGATTGTTTCCGTCGTTTCCAGATAGTGGAAGGATACGGCCAAACCGAATGCAACGCCTCCATCACCCTTTCGCTTCTTTATATCATCATTGTTTCCGTCATTTCCAGGAACGCACGATGTTCTTTGAACATTATAGGGATTTCCTTTCGTGCGCTCCAAGCGATAAAAAAAAGATAGTGGAGGGGTACGGTCAAACCGACTGTAACGCCCTTATCATCCTTTTGCTTCTTTATATCATTCCCCCACTAGCTCCAGATAGTGGAGTGGTACGGCCAAACAGAATACACCACCTCCATCACCCGTTTGCTTCTTTCTATCATTTCCTCTCTTGTTCCAGATAGTGGAGGGCTACGGCCAAACCAAGTGTACCGTCCTCATCAGTCTTTCGCTCATTTATATCATCATTGTTCAAGTCGTTTCCAGATAGAGGGGTACGGCCAAACCGAATGTAACGCCCCAATCATCCTTTTGCTTCTTTATATCATTCCCCCTCTTGTTCCAGATAGTGGAGGGGTACGGCCAAACCGAATACACCACTTCCATCACCCTTTCGCGCCTTTATATCATCATTGTTTCCGACATTCCTAGATAGTGGAGGGGTACGGTCAAACCGACTGTAACGACCTCATCATCCTTTTGCTTCTTTATATCATTCCCTCTCTTGTTCCAGATAGTGGAGGGCTACGGCCAAACCAAGTGCACCGTCCCCATCACTCTTTGGCTCCTTTATATCATCATTGTTCTCGTCGTTTCCAGATAGAAAAGGGGTACGGCCAAACCGAATGCAACGCCCCCATCACCTTTCTGCTTCTTTATATCATTACCTCTCTTGTTCCAGATAGTGGAGGGGTACGGTTAAACCGACTGTAACGTCCTTATCATCCTTTTGCTTCTTTATATCATTCCCCCTCTTGTTTCAGATAGTGGAGGGGTACGGCCAAACCGAATACACCACTACCATCACCCTTTTGCTTCTTTAGTGGAGGGCTACGGCCAAACCAAGTGCACCGTCTCCATCACTCTTTCGCTCCTTTATATCATCATTGTTTTCGTCGTTTCCAGATAAAAGAGGGGTACGGCCAAACCGAATGTAACGCCCCAATGATCCTTTTGCTTCTTTATATATTTCTCCCCCCCTTGTTCCAGATAATGGAGAGGTACGGCCAAACCGAATTCAACACCCTCATCTCATTTTTGCTTCTTTATATCATTCCCCCTCTTGTTCCAGATAGTGGAGGGGTACGGCCAAACCGAATACACCACTTCTATCACCCTTTCGCTCCTTTATATCATCATTATTTCCGACATTTCTAGATAGTGGAGGGGTACGTTCAAACCGACTGTAACAACCTCATGATCCTTTTGTTTCTTTATATCATTCCCTCTCTTTTTCCAGATAGTGGAGGACTATGGCCAAACCGAATGCAACGCCCCCATCACCCTTCTACTTCTTTATATCATTCCCCCTTTTGTTCCAGATAGTGGAGGGGTACGGCCAATCCGAATGCAACGCCCCCATCACCCTTTTACTTCTTTATATCATTCCCCCTCTTGTTCCAGATAGTGGAGGGGTACGGTCAAACCGAATGTAACGCCCCAATCATTCTTTCGCTTCTTCTTATCATTCCCCCTCTTGTTCCAGATAGTGGAGGGGTACGGCCAAACCGAATGTAACGCCCCAATCATCATTTCGCTTCTTCTTATCATTCCCCCTCTTGTTCCAGATAGTGGAAGGGTACGGCCAAACCGAATGCACCGCCCCCATCACGCTGACCGTCCAGGGCGATCACGTGCCCGGCCACGTGGGCCCGCCCGTCGCCTGTTGCTGCGTCAAGCTGGTGGACGTGCCCGAGATGGAGTACTGGTCGAAGAAGAACCAGGGCGAGGTGTGCGTGAAGGGTACCAACGTGTTCCAGGGGTACTTCAAGGACCCCGAGAAGACGGAGGAGGTGCTGGACGAGGACGGGTGGCATCATACGGGCGATGTGGGCATGTGGATGCCGGTGAGTATGGATCTCCATCTATACAGGGTGTCCCATAAGTAATGGATCAAAAGAAGTGGGGTGATAGGGGGGTCATTTATAATCAAACTAACGGTATATGTTGTTATCAAATTGTTGATGGTTCAAAAGTTATTCAATTTTTCTAAAAAATGCGACCCATTTGAAAAAAATTAATAACAGAAAGGCTGTTTTGAATAACTCCATATGTTATACCATTTAGGAGTCTGTATCAAATGGGAAACTTTTTCTAATGATTGCTTATCTCTGTGGAGTAGTGAAAGTCGATTTAAATATTTCATTCGATGACAAAACTGAAGGAATACAACATGTTTTCTCAGGTAATTGATAAGGAGTGATATATGTCATAAAATTATTTCTGGGGATAGATGCTCAAAAATGACTCATACCTTCGAAATATCAATATCATAGTAAAATCCTTCGGAAAAATCGTTCAATTTTTTATGTCAGGTCACAGGATTGTCATAATACCATAGTTGAGAGAATATTACATAATACCTTCAGTACTACGCTGAACTATGAATGTTGTCAATACATACATATTTTAACGGAAACAGGCCCTTTAGATTTAGGGTTCCTGTAGCTATTCAGTGCGAAATATCCATATATTTATTAATATAGAGGTGAATGGTATGTGAAGAGGAGAGTTTACCTATATTTTTCGATTTCCGGTCACTTTATCGGTCTCACCGGAGATGGTTTCCGATCTGAAGTTTCAAATAAAATACCCTCTGTATATCGTTAGACTTTTGGAGTTCTGAGAAAATTCTGGATCACGGTGACATTTTTGAAAGTTTCTACGCCTGCATATTTTTTAGTCGATTCCAATATTGTACAGGATTTAAAGGAACTTTCACTGTCTGCTCTCCATGGCACACTTGGCAAATAAACTCTACAAAAAATCCTTGAAAGAACTTGTCAAAAATGGAAATACATCTTATTATAGTTGAATATTTTTGTTTTGAGCAGCAACGCCTTTAAGATTCACATACTTGCTTGATCTGTATTTCATTCGTTAATCTCGGGATGGATAACTTGTTTTTGAATAATCACGCCAGCAATAGTATTTTGTCTCAAACAATTGTTTACCTCAATTTGATTATCAAGCCAAACACAGTGGAGTATGGCAAATGCAAAAAAGTGTCACTTTTGATCCTACTAAAACAATATACTATTTGCCAACTTGTCTCAATCCTATATTCATCATACTAGTTACTGAAACTTTGCGATTGTAATTTTCTTCACTACACCTGAGGTTGTTAGATTAGTTTACGTTACCTAGATGCAATATTATGTGACCCATTCTGATGCAGAATTGTCTCTGAATTTCTAAAACGTAATAATATACAGAGTGTGAAACCGGAAGTAACCGGAAATTGGGGAATATGCGAAAAATCAACCCTTCACATACCATTTACATATAATAGAGAATCTCATTTTGATAAACTTCGCGTTCTAGAAGTTATGACTCTTGTCTGATAGATTCGTTGACACCCAGTATAAACTGTTAGATCTTTGACTTGATAAGAAAAAATATCGAATATTGTAATAGGAAAATGATCGATGAAACATTTCTTTGCAGAATGGTACATTGAAAATAATAGATAGAAGAAAGCATATCTTCAAGTTATCTCAAGGAGAATACATCATACCAGAGAAGATAGAAAATATTTACATTAGGTCACAGTACGTTAGTCAAGTTTTTGTCCATGGAGAATCATTAAAAGTAAGTATCATTGTCAGTGCTGTTATAAATATCATTTAGAAATCGAGGCAAATATTGATATTATTTTCTTCGTGTCCGGTGATTCTAGAATTCATTGCTATATCCCAGTTATCTCAGGAAATCCAACAATTTGCTGAAAATATTGTTTGAAATACTCATAAACCTATTGCCCTCATCAGAATAATGAGTTATGGGGTGACTTTATATTACTAGAATATACTTGATTATTCAAATCCATCATATTTGAAATAAGCAAGATGTTCTTCAAATCGGGTTTCAATATTTTGACATGTTTGTCCAATATATATATCGTTATGGAATCATTCAATTTTCCGTTTTTTTCATATTTCTCATAAGAAATTCATATCAGGAATTGCTGAAATCTACACGCAAGATGAATCAGCTAGGCGGATATATCTATGAACGAGAATATGGCCTAGAACCAAAATTTAGTTCAAACTGGTTCTTGAGTACAGTGGTAAAATTGGTTTTCAACCATCAATGAATGAATTGCAGAAGAAATATTATTTAAGCCTTATTTGAAGGTCGCAAACTACTGATATTTAACAAGTAGATATGTAATTGAATCTACATTTAAAAAAAAAATTGAACATTTTTAAAAGAAAGTATATAACTAGACAAAAATAATTTTTCAATAAGATATGTTTTGGTTTGTCGACCAGTTTGGTCGAGAAATGAAACAGCCAATTTTTGTAAAACTGGTTGCGACCACCGAATATTCAAGAAACAAATAATATTTATGTATATTTTTTCTTGAAATACTGGGAAAAAACTATGTCTACTGTTCCATATAAAAGAAAACTCGTATGCTTAATGCATTATCAACTAGCACTTTTCAAAAATGGACGATAACACAGCATCTCAATGGAAGACGATTATCAAATGATTTTTTGTGCGAAAAGTTCTACTTTTTCCCACTCTGTCAGCTATCTTGAATTAAGCGAAGTGGCCGGGAACACATTCCTAGTAAATTTAATGGTATAAGGAATATTTCTCTTATTTGGTCTCAAATGCCAGAACGGTCGAGAACCAGTGCCAGTCGGTTAACCAGTGCATCTGCCATATTATTGTTCTAAAATTGTTGTTCATTAGATCTGGGTTTGAGTTACCGTTTTTGGGTCAGAAATTGATAAAATCTCTATTTGCAGACAAGGTCATTGTCGCTACAGTATTTTAGATTTTCCAAATTTTTAATGGCTAGGAGTATATTTGTGCCATCAGCGTAAAGTAACATTCTATTTCACAAATAGAGAGAAACTCAGTCATTACAAAATAGTTCATAAAATGAACGAAAATGGTAGATAACGAGAGAAAAACAACTACTTTCCTAGCTATATGCCATGTAGAACATTGGATTACATTCTCCCGAAATGTACGTATGTATAGACGGATAAAATCGCAAGTGTTTCCTTCTTAAACGTCGAGCTGCGCCTAAGTGGTTCTGGAACGCGTGACTACCTGCATACCGGTTTCGAGCTGTTGGCTCTCATCAGTACAGGGCTGTCCCAGATAGCTTCTTGACCGCTATCTGGTGCGAACCTGACCCAACGTAAACGCATCTATACGCATTGTAATCCAATCTTCTGCGTGGCATATAGCCAGGAAAGTAGTTGTTTTTCTCTCGTTATCTACCATTTTCGTTCATTTTATGAACTATTGTGGTAATGACTGGGTTTCTCTCTTTTCGTGACAATATTGCATTCCACTTTGAGTATTTGGCTTTCTCCTAGTTGACCATTCTATTTGGTATGGTACAGGTATCGTAGATGTCATGGTTTGGTGAATTGAGTATTTCGAATTTCAACCACATTTAGTCTCAAAACTTGAATCATTATATTATTGTATGTCATACAATGGAGAACTTTCGCTGTTAATGTTACTATTATTTTTCAAGTCATGTATAGTAGCAGTAGTCGTACCAGACGTGGACGTGATCAAATGCTGGGCGCACGAGAACGGAATCCCAGGAACTCTCAGCGTCTTGTGTAACAATCCCGAGGTCAAACAGTTGATCATCGACGACATGACATCTTGGGGCAAAGAAGCAGGTCTCAAATCATTCGAACAAGTGAGTAATAAGAACGGAAACCTCGAATCTCATGCGAGATGCAAGACGGGCTGTTTCTGCTTTCGAAGCCTCATCACCTGCACTAGCGATTCGCGTTGGATACTTCAATATGTGCAACACAAAAAATTACAGGTTACAGGAGAACGATAGACTCGAATGTCTATTGATTATGAGCCGTTCGTTAAAATTTTTGCGGATAGAAATTTTGGAATTCAGGGTTATTCATCATTCTCTTCCATTTTGGAATATTTCCAAGGTCATACCACTGCTGGTTATACCGGAAGTCGCCAATAACTACCTTATTTCAAATGAAATACCCTGTATATCATTTCATTTTTGGATTCACAAGAAAATTTCATGATGAGTTTCATCAGGTTTCCCTATACCTATTTTCAATAGTTTCTTAAATATCTTGATTCTTTAAAAAATTTTGAAAAATTCAGCATTACATATTTTGAAAACTGCACCTTTTTCCTATTTTCGACTGATGCTGAACGCTTATTCTGAGGTCGAATTTAAACTTTTGAGAATCAATTACAAGTTCTTCGGATCATTCAAAGAAATCAGTGTGAGTGTATAGTATATCATATAACACCGAACGGTATCAGTGCTACACAATCTATTCTAGTGTACAATATTGTACTTATTCGAGGCACAGCGAACAGACCTAATGTCAGCCTTCATTGGTGCAGTGTTACCAACTTAGTGGATTTCACACTAGAACTGGTGGTTCGAGTTCTTTCACATAATATTTTATATTCAACAATGTAATACTCGAATGTTGTTTTTTATTTCTCATTTTATATATACATAGGGTCCCTTGATGGAAATTTACGTTAGTCATCTTAACAGGGTACGGACAGATCCTCGTCTCCTCTCACTCTGAACTGTTTGTGAAACAGTTATATAGTTCCATCCTTATTCAATTCTGGGGATAAACACTAGATTCTTGACATTTGTTGTTTTTTAGGTTATATTGAGGTCATTGGCGTATCATACGTAATTTTCATATGAACTTCCTTATTCAGCTATACCAAGATATAGATGAACAATCCTCTAGTTTTAGAGTTTACTACTTCAGCATGATCTTTGCGAGGTAGGGAACATATAAATTGTACTGAAAGCTTACTATATTTCACCAAAAGATTCTGTTCTTAGACTGTATACCAGAGTTGACTGAATGAATTCTGATTTCAAGCTGAGCATAAGTTTATCTATGAGCTGAGCCTTATGATTGAGAAATGCTGAAAACCTCGATACCAACTCTGATTTTTGAATAGTATCGGATCATAATTACAAAATTCGTTCGCCATATTGGATCCGTTATCTTGAATTTCCCAATGTTGACAAAAAAATCATAAAGTTCGACCCCGAAAACCCTCAGATACCAATCTTAAATAGAATCAGATCATAATTAGAAATTTCTTTCGCTATACATTGGATCCGACATCTTGAATTTTCCAAGTTTGACGAAACAATCATTATCTCCAACCCCGGAAAACCCCAGATATATCCAATTTTGAATAGAATCGGATCATAATTACAAAACTCGTTCGCCATATGATATACCTCAACAAGTACATACCTATTATTAAAATTCTGAATGATTTTCTGTAGCGCCCATGTTGTGCCTCTAGGGTCGGTCATCTGACAGTTCATGCACGCAATCCATTCGAATACCTACTAGGTAATTCTTATTTATTTTTCTAGGTTAAAGATATATACCTGCACCCAGACAACTTTAGCATTCAGAATGGTCTTTTGACGCCCACAATGAAAACGAAACGTCCTCAGCTCAGCGCTTACTTCAAACCACAACTAGACGATATGTATAGCCGACTAACCTAGCTTATTTAGTATAAGAATTTATAGCAACATGTTTTCGCTAAGTTTATATTCTACGAATCTACAAGAAGTCCGAAAGTTGAGAGATAAACGTTTAATGTTACTGTTACATATTGAATGTTTCTTCAACAGTTTGAACTAACAATAAGTAACTAATAGGGGAGACTGGGTCACGATGGTACGTCGTGCACAAAAAGACAAACGGACTATTTTTAAGTTTACCGACGCTGTGACGCTAGTCCGCAGTTTTCTGCTGAATTTAATTCGCGCATAGGTACCACGTGGTCGGATTTGAAAAGTTGGATCACGAGTATGCGCAGTGCGTATATAGTCTTTTTCTTCATAGCTATCAAGGAAATATCGACAGGTCCGATAATTTTTTCCTTGTCTACCATCTAGTCTGTGCAATTGAATTGGTTTAGATGTTATAAATTATGAACGATAATGATGCCAGTATTTTAGCAAGGAATGTCTCTTTCACTGAGATATAATCCTCAACTATACTCGCCTGTCGAAAAATTGTAGGTTGATAAATAAATGATGTCAAACTAGATATATGGTATTGTGATATTAGACTAGTTTTGGAATAATTTTGAAAATTCCACACCCGTAATTTTTAACCTAATGAAATTGAGTTTTTCTGACAAATCACCATAACAAAGTTTTTTCTCTCGGGTAGGTACGCAATAGCGAATTAAATCGGAAACTTTTTTACGTTTCAATGACAGAATAATATCATAATTTTCTACCATTTGTTATATAGTAACCTGAAATTGATATAAAATGGAAGAACATAATATATGTTATATCCTAAAGTGGTATCTTCATGCAACTACAATATGTATAGAAATCTTGAATTTTTAAGCTATGTGAACTAAATTTGTTAATTAACCTATATGAAAATCAAATGAATACATTCTTAAATCATTCAATTTTCAAACACAATCTGGTGTGGAAGTGAATACCACATGAAGTGAATTATTTTCCGGAAATTTCTTCTCGCTCATATTCTCAGCTCGTAAAAAATTTCCGGAAATATCAAGAACTCTACTGAAAAACTTGAAATTATCGAGATACATGGCAAATACTTATATAATATCGTACGTGTAAATATGTATTTTTGAAAAGTGTTCTGTTCAGTTTCAGAAAATCAGACTATGGCAGTCAATACTATCAGTTAGTTTTGTTGACTATGTGAGAAAAGTCCAGATTGAACTCGAGTAAGACAATTTGGGCGGATGCATGGTGAAAATATGAACCATGGGCGGATGGAACGAAACTCGATTTTTTCCATCCGAAAAACGAAATGTCTCACCGTGGCCCCATTCTCTCCTACCTATAACTCAAAACTCATCCGATTTCAATGACTTTTTTATAAGTTGTTCGATTTTTGGAGATAGACTGTTTCCCATAGTAATTCACTTTTTGATTTTGACGAATTTTTATGGAAAAAATAATATCTATACAAAAAATCTATTGAATTCGGGCAAGAGGTCTAAAGACGAAAAGTAAAATTGATCTATTGACGTTTACTTTTGTTGGGTACTGGTGCGTTATAATTATTTCTTAAAGAAGTGTACATTGTGAAGTGGAAAAGGTTAGTTCCTATATAAAGACCAAATTCTGTTTTCCCATTGATGAAGTTGTGGAATATAATTCACAAAAAAACGGAACTCTGAGTTTTTGGACTAGTGTAAATAATATTATCTTCTTAAGCTGGTTATAGGTGACACTTGAAGTTCCAAAGCAATATTATTGCATATTATACAATTTACAGGATGTGAATAAATAAGTGCGAAAAATATAGGATATTTCCTGTCATATTATACTACCAAAAGTTCACATAAAAATGTCTTGACTTGCTTTGTTAACATACAAATGTGTGAAAGTTAGGACACATGTTAACGTTAGGAACTTTTTTTTTCAAAGAATATGACAGGGAATCTACCGTAATTTTTTTCGCGTTTACATATGAAATATACAGGGTATGAATGAATACCCTGTATATTTCATATGTAATATATCCTCAAATTTGAAATTGTCGATTTCCTGCTTCTTCCTCATTTATTTTTGAAAATTTTGAATAATTGAATTCTAAACCTTAGTACCACTACTTGGTAGTTCTTGTACCTATTGAGGAGTTAGTATAAAAAATGACAAATAAAATGTTTTGGTGTATTTGATGGGGTATCCTAAAATGAGGAACCAAACATGCAGCAACCTCAGATTTTGGGAACAAGATATGGAATGATCTGATCATCACTATTGTAATAGTGTTTAGCTAAAGTTAGTTTCGCTAGAGCTTAGATGAATCTCTTTAGTTTTTTCAACCTCTCAAAAATCTGGGCTTGCCTTCTCAATATCATTTTAGAATACCATAATATATGTCTATTATGAATTAAAAATAGTATCCTAAACATTACTTGAATTAGGCTGTGATAGTTCATTTCAAGCGACTTTATTACACACAAGTGAGGACTTGAAACCTTATTTTGCATAAACGCTGAATCAATCCAAAATTCAGAGAAACATTTGCATAAAACGAATTCTGTTAACTGTGAGTTATCTAAGGAATAAAAAAATCATGTAAGTAAGTACTTATGTTCTGGTGAAGTCAGAACTTCATATTTTTGTGGCTGTATACAATACAGGGTGTTTCTTAAGTACATGTAGAAAATTCAGGAGCATGTTGCTGACTTCAAAATAAAAAGAAAAGTTTGTATAAATTTATGTCCGAAAGATGATCGTTTCTGAGATACAGAGTGTCAAAGTTGAATTCTCATTTTAGTCAATAAATTCAAAATAATTCGAATATTCGAATGAAGTTTGGTATCTCGGAGTATTTTTCGATGACAATATCAAATTTTATGTTAGTTTGTCTCGTTCGTGGGGGTGGCGCCACCTACATGTGTTTTGAGTCTCTTGAAAAGTCATAACTTTTTTGTGCGTACCTGTATCACGTTTTATAGTAGAAAAATAGATTTCTAGAACACTTTTCTGTGGAAAATATTTTCCTGGTAAAGGTTGCTGCAAGCAACTGTTTTCGAGTTATTGGGATTTGAAATACTCAATGCAAGTAATTTGAAATGACATGAAGTTGGAATTCAAAATTGATTTATCAAGTAAGGAGAATTAGTTTTTCTAATTTCATTTTAAAATAGGAATCGGGTGTAATTACAATTCAATACTAATAATAATAGCAGTAATTAAGACCAAATTAATACTAAAACTGTTAGTTGAGGTAATTGTTCACGGTGGCCAAAAGAGTAGATACAAAGAAGTAAGAATCAATTGCCTACATTCCAAAGTTGAATTGTTGAATGTAGGAGAATATTGAATGAATGAAGAAAAATGCACTGGCGAATCTGATATTTACTACTTAGAGACGACTTACGCGCTCCATGGAAATAATTCAAATGCATCCATTGTTTTAAATCCCAATTACTCCAAAGCAGTTGCTAGCATTGACCCCTACCACGAATATATTTTTTACAGTGTTCCAGCAATCTATTTTTCTAATATAAAACGTGATACAGATACGCACAAAAAGGTTATGACTTTTCAAAAGACTTAAAAGACATGTAGGTGGCGCCACCCCCACAAAAGAGACAAACTAACATAAAATTTTATATTATTTTAAAAAAATACCCCTAGATACCGAACTTCATTCAAATATCACAATTATTTTGGAATTTATTAACAAAAAACAAATATAAGAATTCAACTTTGACACTCTGTATCTCAGAAACGAATTACTTTCGGACATATATCTTCTTATTTTGACGTCAGCAACATGCTCCTGACCTTTCTACACGTACTTAAAAAACACCCTGTATAGGGCCTGTTTGTTTGACTTTGCTCAACCTGCTGGACTTGAAATGTTTACAATGACCTTCTATGATCTCTGTTTATGTAGTGCTATGAACAGATATCAATAAAAACGAATCGGCTTCAGCAGGTTAAGCGCCATTGCTCATTACTGATCTAACCTATTTTTTGTAAGGCAAATACATAAAACCGTTATCAGTTGCAGAAGGGTGACTGCAACATTCATAGCAATTTGCAATAGCTCTACACTGCAAATAGAAGGACTATTTGTGTGTGTTCTGGATTTGTCATGTACATGGTGATTCAAACTTCCTGCCTTTCGCTCATAACAGGAAAAGTGAAACTGCAAATGCAAATTCGGTAGAGGGGATTTGAATAGCTGTGTGTAAGGTATATTTTTTCGTATTCAAACATATTTCAACTCTTTTCAAAATGGCGGAAATGACGCCAGAAAAGTTATTTATTCCACAAAGTCACCATTTTTTTCTCATATTCTGAAAAAATATTTTTTTAAACATCTTTCACCCCAAAACTTTTTTTCTATTTTCATTAAGTTGATAGCTGTGAGACTCCAAAGTTGGCATTTTCAAATAAACCTCAATTGAACTAAGAATCAAGTCTGTCGGAAAACAAATTGTTTTGTAAGCAATTCAATACATTTTGCATTCATTTAAAACCATTGAAGCTAAAAACCAGCCGACTTGGGGGTCAGGTGAGATTTATTGAAAAATGCTAACTTTAGAGTCCCATAGCTATCAACCAAATGAAGATAGAAAAAAAAATCCTGGATGAAAGCCGTTTAAAAAATATGTTCTTTCAGAACATGAGAAAAAATTGTGACTTGCGGGAATAATTCCTGAATAATTCTTGACCCCGCCGTAATAAAAGTCGAGCCGGCCGGAATTTAGCTTCAATCGGTTTCAAATGAATGCAAAATGTATCTAATTTCTCAAATTGCTCACAAAACAATTTGTTTTCCGGCAGACTTTCATTATTGATTTATTATGGCAGGGTCATTTGAGGATTATTTGAAAATGCCAACTTTGGAGTCCCACAGCTATCAACCAAATGAAGATAGAAAAACAGTTTTGGGATGAAAGATTTTAAAAATGATATGTTTTTTCAGAATATGAGAAAAAATGGTGGAAAAAATAACTTTTTTATCGCTTGGAGCGCACGAAAGGGAATCATAATGTTCAAAGAACATCGTGCGTTCCTAGGGAGGATAGGGATAGGAGGTTGGCATTGGATTTTTCTTCTGGAGATTATATGTTGTTGGGAATACTTCCTCAGGCAATGAATTCCAGGGCCTAGCCGTTCTATGGATGAAGGAGTTTTGATAAAGTGCTGTTTCTGACGTCATTCCCGCAATTTTGAAGTTGAAATATTTTTTAATATGAAGAAATATTCCTTACACACAGCTATTCAAATTCCCTCTGCCAAATTTGCATTTGCAGTTTTACTTTTCCTGTTATGATCGAAGGGCGGGAAATTTGAATCACCCTGTATGCCATCCAACATTTTTCAATAAAATTGTTATTCCTAGATACAGGATGTCTTAGCTTTGCTTTTATTTGCCGCCCTTATGACGGCCCTGTTGCCCTAAGAATATTTGGGATTAGTACCTACCAGCTCAAAAGTGTACAGAAACAATAGTAAATTGAATGAACATTGTTTTCTTCTTAACAGAGAATTGATTTATAATAATTATTGCCAAGAATGTCCTCAAGACAATAGATATTTAAAAAAAAAATAAAAAAATATTTTCATGATTCTTCACCAAGCTGTGATATATTCAACTGGAATTTCTTGGTAAATGGATGATTATTTGAGAATAATGAAGTTTAAATTTCATATACCTACTTACTTATGACTTGATATGAAAATATTTCATTATGGTTCTAGTACCTAGTTGTAGGTCCACCAATCATCACCAGTTTATGTTTTTGCCTTATAAAAAAATCTTGTATCAGTGACTGGTTCACAGAAACAATACCATATAAATAGAATTTCGCTCTCACACTTTCTAAATATTGATCATTTTCATGTGATACTGGGTAATGGTTATATTGTGGAATGATTTCAAAAATATTGACAATTGTGAACCAGTAATGAGAAATGAGTATTGTGATGTAGGCAATGATGATAAACAATACCACATTGGATTATTTCCATTTTCTATGCTTACATAGAATGTTAGTCACTTTCCTTGTCACTACCTATGTGAAGGAGTAAAACTTTTACCTTGGACTTTAAATATTTGCCATTCTATTACTTAGTATATCAATTATTAGATTCTTGCAATTTGGTTTACAATAATCATCATCAACCTTCTAGAACTCTATTTGTTATTTTTAGTTATTGTTGCAATAATTATACACAAACAATAAATATTTGAAAATTTATAGGCCTTTTATTTCTATGACTGGGATATTAGGAATCTGAATATGTCACATTAAGCAGTTCTATGCATACAATTTTATCTGAAATCTGCACTGAAGGATTTTGATATCAGTTCCAGAAACAATATTATGTACAGGGTGATTGTCTAAATTTTCCTCAATAGCTGTCTCAGTTAATATTGGTCTTATAGATACTAGAAAATGCAAAGAAGCTTTGTGAACATAAAAATTTAGCATAGACTGTTCATTTTCAAACATCACCTTGGCACCTGATACCTAACATGATATCATTATTTTTGAAGGTCCAATTGTTCTTAATTCAGCATCTTATGGTAACCATGAACCATTGAAATTTTACTATAGCATGTAGCTTGAGCACTGAGATAAAAAACTGGAGATTATATTCCAAGCATAGTGATAATATCCTAATGAAATAATTATTGAATTTTTTTTTCTATTAGTAAGTATATCACAAAAGATTTCAGAAAGTAGTCTACTTACCTCTGAAGACAGAAAACTCAGTAAAAAGTCAAGCATATATTACCATCTATTTCTTTCCCTTAATTACAGCTTGTTGGGCTTTAAGAACTTTAACAACAATTTTTTGTTCTTCAATGAGGAAAGCTCTGACGATCTTTTCTTTGACACACTTGTGACATAGAACTCCACCATATGCTCTCTTTACAGTCTTCTTCCTCCTGCATAGGCGGGAACGTTCTTGTGGCCTAGCTGGCAAGATACCCCTAAGCTTGTCATTGCACTGACCACATCTTGGGATCTTCTTGGGTTTTTTCAAATATTGGTAGACTAGCTTACCACCAGGAGTTCGAACACTGAAGCAAATAATATGTATCAAAAAATGCCAGGGGAAAATAACAATTCAACAAAGACCAAGAAGTGCTAAATGTCTGAAGAAATATCAGCTTCATGACAAGTATGTGAAGGTATATAAACATAGCGCCTATCCCGCTAAAAAATAAATGCAGAATGCCCAAGGCAAGTAGGTTTATTTTGATCACAATGGATCATAACCTTAAATTGATAGATTTTGATCAACTGTCACTGTTTTACGGCAGGAAAAGAAATTGTTTTGATATAAAAATTAAACCATCATTAATTATTTCGAAAACTTACATGCGTCTCCTGTTGGATTTTGTATTATACGACAATCGTCGTCTGAAGACTAATCGTTGAACCATTTTGCCCTAGAAAAAAGTTGATATACAAAAATGTCGATAAAGATTACTTACAAGATGAAGCGTAATTAATTATAAATCCATAAATGTAGTGAAAACGTAGTTTATTTTATATAATTTTGAGATGAACGGAGATATATTTATAAATTACTAACCTTAGCGAGCTGAAAAAATGGAAAAGGTCAAATAGACAGATGACAGTGGCAAATGACAATTGACAATTATATTACACAACTGAAACTTGTCACTTGTCAGTCTGATAGCATGACATGCTGCCAACCTAAGTTTCAGAAAAAACATAGGAATATTTTATTCACATTGCCCGATTTGGTTATATTTCATTCACACCCCCGTTATGGTTAAAGCTGATAATCCCATTTTAGTGTGTATAACCGTGACGGGATTTTTGTTTGCGTACACCTACCTCAATACTAAGATGCCTCAATACGAGTCCCTTGATGGAAATTGACGTTAAAGTCATCTTAACAGGGTACGGACATGTACGGACAGTTCCTCGTCTCCTCTCACTCTGAAGTGTTTGGGAAACAGTTATATAGTTCTATCTTTATTCAATTCTACTGGGGATTAACCAATGTACTATTTCAATAATATGTATGGCTCATCGCCTATACAACATCTCAACGAAAATGGGACCAAAATGAGAGGTACTTTTTGAATCTATAAGGACGGAAAGTGAAGGATGGAAACAGCCATATTGGTTTGACAAGTTTCGTATTATTTTTTATCTACGTCGGCATCAACGTCTATTGGTCGATTTCGTTATCTATAGCGTTGATTGATATATTACGCTTAAGCTTTGTTTTCATGACAACGTTTTGCGTCGTGCGTCTTGCGTTGCCTCGTTCTGATTGGCTATTTCAAATGACGCAAATTCCATGAAATTTGTTATAATTTTCATTCATGCGTCCGCTTCCAGATTTTGACAGGTTGAATTTGAAACCATCTCGAATCAAATATTCGAAATTTATTATAGGTTTTCAATAATTATTGCCAGAAATGGTTATAATTTGACAACTGCAGTGTTAAAATATTCATTTTCCATAAATATATACGAAATGGATGAACAAAATTGGCGAAGAGAAAAATATTAATTTTTTTGTATTTGAGAAGAAAAAAACGTACCTACCGGAAAAAAAACAATTTTTGGTGAGACCTATATTCCAAAATAGAAAAAGATTAGGAGCATTTCAAACCTTGATAAGAGAGCTTGCTGACCAGGACTCTGAATGCTATTTCAATTTCTTCAGGTACAATGGTATTCTATAGTAGTCACTTACTCTTCCATATTTCAATAAACCATTAAAAACCCAAGTAAGTACACTGTGAATAGTCTGAATTTTATTAAATTCAAATTTTCTTGAATCTGTGCTCTTCCTGTTTTGGGTGATAGGGAAAACCTAAAACATAACCTACAAGAGTAGAGGTTCTCTATCCCACATTTCTCGCGTTCGACGCAAAGAAGTTAAATATTTTTAACTTCATTTCTACTAAATAATGCGTCAGTCAAAATAGCCAATCAGAACGAGGCAACGCAAGACGCACGACGCAAAACGTTGTCATGAAAACAAAGCTTTAGCCATGCTTAGCGTAAGCGTAATATATCCTTAGATCATGTATGATCTAAGAATATATCAATCAACGACGCCTATAGAGACAGAAGTTAGTCCCGCTGAGCAGTAGATATATGAGATAAGCACTAGACTTTTGACATTTGTTGTTTTTCAGGTTATATTGAGGCCATTGGCGTATCATACGTAATTTCCATATGGAATTCCTGATAAAACTATACCAATATATAGTTGAACAATCCTCTAGTTTAAGAGTTTAATACTCCAGCATAATCTTTGCGGGGTAGGGAACATATAATTTGTAAAGCTGAAAGCTTTATATATCACCAAAAGAGACTGTTCTTAGACTGTTATACCAGGGTTGACTGAATTGACTGAATGAATTCTGATTTCAAGCTGATCGTAGCTTAACTATGAGCTGAATGAGCTGAGACTTATGATTGAGAAATGGTGAAAACCTCGATGTGGGTATCTGAACTACAGTACTCATGTCGTGTGCTAAATATATTTTCGAATATCCAACTCGGAGAAAAATTTATGGAGCGACTAATTCTAGGACGAAAAGAAGGCTTATAGAAAAGTACTACGTGAAGTTGCAGGAAAATGAAGACTAGTATATACTTTTTTCTCCAAGCGGCAGGGTTAGTGGCTTTTTCATGCCGCTTAACAGGCAGAAAAGGTGTACTGTTACTGCCTATAGGCAGTACAAATTTATTGCTATGCAATGTTCCACGAAATTCTAATGAAATCAGTAATCAAAATTGAGACTGACATTGGGTGAACACAAAATGATGGAGTTTTAAATAAAAAAATACACAATATTGGTACTACAACATTTTGGAGAAAAAATTCTATGTATCACACGGTAGTAAATGTAGATTGACTGCCTTGGCTGAATTCCTAGCCTCGCTACGTTCGACTATGAACTATCAGCCGCGGCAGTCAATCTACTACTTCTCTGCCTAGTAAAACAAATAACTATACCCCCATATGTTATACATATGATTCTTCCGTCTTCCTCAAATAAAAAGTAATTTTCAAAAATAATTTATTGATGAAAGTAACAAAGAAGTAGAGGTATAACTTATGGGCAACGTTATATTCACTCTTGCATCCTACATATTTTCAATTTGTGGTAGAGTAATAATTATTTAAACTAATGTTAAAAGTGCAGTTTTGAGCAGTGGTTATTTGAATACCACTAGAAAGTGCATGAGATCTGGAGCCAATGCATTTTTCGTGATATTTTCATAAGAAACTTCAGTGACCCACAGTCCACAATTTCGTTCGAAATATTTTGCTATTTCGTGAGAGATTGCTGCACATACCCTCCAGCGATATTCGTAGACTTCCAAGCAAGAATGTCTCCACCAGAATTTGCAAGTAAACTTGCCGAGGTTCCTCTGAAACTATGCCCGGTATAATTTATGACATCAGGCAGTTTTAAAAATTCTGCAATTTGATGACCGATGACCGATGACCGATGAAAGATGAACGATGAACGATGAATGATGAACGATGAACGATGAACGATGAACGATGAACGATGAACGATGACAGATGACCGACGACAGATATCAGTTTATGACCGGTGACAGATGACCGATGACGTGTGACAGTTGACGTATGAGTTGGATGAAAAATGAATACATCTACAATGTGTTCGAGACAAATGAATATCAGAAAAAACATATACAGAGCGACCTACAAAACCAGATCGAGGCAGATCAAATATCTTGATCTAAATGAAATATCGAAAAACATATACAGGGTGACCTAAAGAATCAGAGCCAGATCAAAATCTTATTGATGAAACGTGAAAAAATTTACAGTGTGTTCGAGACGAATGAATTATCAGAATAAAACATATACAGAGCGATGACCGATGACTGATGACATATGACATATGACCTATAACAGATGGCAGTTGAAGACCGGTGACAGATGACCGATGACGTGTGACAGTCGAAGTATGAGTTGGATGGAAAATCAATACATATACAGTGTGTTCGAGACGAATGAATATACAGAGCCACCTACAAAACCAGAGGCAGATCAAATATCTCTTGAACCAAATGAAATATGGAAAAACATTTATAGGGTGACCTAAGGAATCAGATTCAGATCATATAATCTTATTGATGGAAATTGAAAAAATATACAGTGTGTTCGAGACGAATGAATATCAGAAAAAACATATACAGAGCGACCTACAAAACCAGAGGCAGATCAAATATCTTGAACCGAACGAAATATGGAAAAACACATATAGGGTGACCAGTCCAACATTGAAATCACTTTCCCAAATTTATTTCTCTGTGAAGTTATTCCGTGAGTTTCAAAAATCGATTTAGCAACATCAAACCATAATGCAGGCTCATGATTTCAGAAAGTTGGTAGGTTAAATAATTCAATTGATTCTTGCTCTTTCTTGGAATGTCCAGTTGATGTGTCTTCTGAGGAGATGATGTCATGAGGCATGATATATTGTTTGGAAATGTTGAACTTTCACGATGTTTTTCCAAAATATGAAGCCTTGCTTCCAACGAATCATATTTTTTATTATTTTCATCTTGACGATCAGAGTTTCGCACAATTCTTCAAGTCTATCGATCTTCTCCGTAAAAAGAGTATTCGAAACATCATTTGTATGATTCTTGATGAAATCTCTGGAAGAATGCTCCTGTAGTCGGCTTCGTGGAATTGGTCCTTATAAGTTTTTTTAATGTACAGTGTCAGCATTTCCTTCATATCCGAAAATTCCATCGAATCACTAACATGGATGTTGAAATATCTTAAAATTTGTATGATCTCGCCTTCGCTCAACTGCTCCATAATATCACGTCGGGGTCACCATATTGTGGATACAATTGATACAAATTATAAGACTTTGAGTTGCAATTATATTATAAAAATATCACATCAATGTTAGTTTATCAAATCATAATATACCAAGTATATAACATAACTAGTCACCATAAGTAAACTCTGGTCAGTTCACTTTGTGAATCTTCTGTTCGGTTCGTATGGACTGGATGGTTTTCTTCGATTGAGTATCAAATACTGCTTCTCTGATCTGCAACAGAACATCACATATCAATCGAAGTACATTCATATCAGAAAATAGATATCATTATAGATGAATTAAATGTATGTTGAATCTGAGACATACCTGAATAATATATTCAACGTCCGTAGCTGGATTGCTACATATCCACTTTCTTTCCGAATAGTGTTTTTTGCAGTAGGCATCTTCCACATTTCCAATTACGTTCGTGGGTTTCCATAGAGACATAATGGTGAATATCTGTCTTATCTGTTTTCTCGAGAATCTGGAAAGGATATCAATTGTATTGCCTTCCGTACGAATATAATGATCTGATTTCTGTAATGTATACTCTGGTCAGGTCTCCTTGCGTATCTTCTGTTCGGTCCGTATTTACTGAATGGTTTTCTCCGATTGAGTGGCAAGTATCAAACATTGCTTTCTGGATCTGCAGCTAAACATCACATCAGAAAATAAATATCATTAGATGAATTAAATGGATGTTGAATCTGAGACATACATGAATAATATATTCAACGTCCGTAGCTGGATTGCTACATATCCACTTTCTTTCCGAATAGTGTTTTTTGCAGTAGGCATCTTCCACATTTTCAATTACGTACGCGGGTTATATTAAGGACCTTG